GATCACAAAAAAGGTGTGCGTTCTTTCAGCAAAACGAAAACAATTCACACACATCCTTATGTGATTTGTTTTCTTTTTGCTGAAAGAACACTGAACTTTTTGTGATCCGTGGACAGAACCTTTAAATAGCGGTTGTGTTACAAACTTCGTAACTTGAAAAGTACATGAGTGATGCGAATGATTCTTGTACTTAAAGAAAGCTTTTGATTTGAGCTTTCATATCCTAGATTTTGAAAGCGCTACATGCAGAACTTTACTAAAACAATGGTCCCGACATTTGGGTTTCGTTTTTTTTTTTACTCACCCTGTAGAGAGTGACGCAAAATATTAGCACTTAGCACGTCTACATAAAATAATAGTAGAGTTTTTCATAAAATAATAGTAGAGTTTTTCAGCTACAGTATTAACATGTTTTTGGGGGGTCTTTTCTCTAACATGAAAGGAGTCTCAGGAAATTAGGCCCTGGGCCACTGTGATTATGTATCTCTCCCAGCGGAATCAGCGGCGGCATGTGGGAAATGTAGAGATGTCAAAACATGCCGAAGGGGTGCGGGATAGCAATCAGCAAATGGCAGACGCACAGTCGAATGAATTACTTTGACTCAAGCCTATATTATGTTATGCATATACCGATAAAATATAAACTACAATAAGGCCACACAAAAAAATAGTCGGTCTCTGGTCAGACCGAAGTTCCGGAATTGATGCGGCGACGCGTTTTTTTTTTTTTTTTGGTTTTTTTTTTTTTCCAAGCTTGTATTGTACAGACAAGGTGGGTGCTATTTTGCTTTTTTGTGTCCTCATTATACATTGGTGTCCTCCATAATTTGCCTTGGTGCCCTTTATCATTTGCCTTGGTGCAATTTCCCCATTCCTTGGTGCTCCTTGGTACAAAAAGTTGAGGAGGAGCGGCAATAGAGGGCGCTGTTGTAGCTTCCGTGTTAATTTGAAGAAGAAAAAAAAGGTTGACGCGCATGATTAAAATCGACGCGCGCGCTGACCAGGGACCGAGTATTTCCTTTTTTGGCCTAACATCAGTATTTTTTTTTTCGCAAGCTTCCTCTGAGCTTTTTCTTGTATTCAGGTTATTAAAGTCACCTTAAATTGCCAGGAAGGAATTTTTTGGATAATATGGTGCCAAAAGATTAAAATAGAAATTGTATGCTTCAGTTAGGTAAGCACTAAAATAAGCGATTGGCCGACTGGTTTATCATTTTAATACTATCGGGAGGTCAACTGAAGTATTAGATTCGATATAGCTGTTCGATATCAATAACCCAAGAATAACCGCGAAAACCAACTGGTTGACGCGAGAAAGTACTTCCCAACGATGTTCTTTTTCGTACTCGTACCGCGGGACCTTGAACATGTAATAATATCTGTGGAGTGGTAATTTTCAGAGTATTGAGTGTATTTCTGGCGTTCAATCAGCCGTTTCTAATGGCTTTGCCTGAACTGAAAGAACGCCAAGGTTACATCAATTTGACGGAGTTTGATCGGTAATTACTTGTGTGATGTAGCATGTGATTTAAGGAACTGCTCGCACGTCGGACCGGAGAAAATTACGCCTTTCAGACTTCAGTGGTTGACTTCCTATAGCAGCTCTCTGAGCTAAACTGGAAGGGTGACTGTGACCTCACAGTCGGTGCGGTGCAAACAAACATGGTGATGTACATCAAAACTTAGGTGCGAGTACAAATCATGCAGACTGGTTTAGAGAGTCCTCAGGCTGGCCGGTGGCGACATAGCACCGATGGTGTTTAGTGCTATGGGTTTGAAGGCACAGATGGAGGGTGCACACACGGCTGCTTCTGGAAGTCTGTTCCATATCCTGATGGTTCTTGGAAAGAAAGAGTAGGCGTAGGCATCGACATTGGGGCTTGGTTGTTGGTAGCATAGGGAATGTTTTATACGACGGGTGGAGGATGATATGTGCTGGAAGTGTGGTGGAGAGGTGATGTTGACTAGTTGATGCTGGATTTTGTAAAACATAACTGACTGGTTGAGAAGACGTCTAGTTTGGAGGCTGTCCCATTTTACATTTTCATTTTTTCCCATTTTTCCCGAAAAGTGAATGTTCTTCCCTAAATTGTGTTAAACAAGTCCTGATAATCGATAAAGGGAAAGTCAGCCTTTTCTTCTCATTCGTATGCTTTGGAGGATTTTTTTGGAAGGGACGTTAAGTCCGAGAACCATTCCGTTATCAACGGACGCATGCTCATTATGGTTATTGACTATGTTTGGTTGTAGAAAAATAATTGCGTACCGCACCACTATCCAGGCGGTGTTGCAAATAATAATGTTACATATATTCTGCGACACCGCATCACTTACATAATAGCTTGTATTCGTGTCCATATCCATAATAATAATAATTTATAATAAAGAACATTTGTAAATCGCCGGTATCCGCCTAAAAAGGCGCTCATGGCGCTTGAGGAGAAAGTCAAGTTAGGATTGTGTGTTGTGAGAGTAAGCTTGTTTGTATATACAGGTAAGATTTTATGTTTGTCTTAAATGTTGTGATGGATGGAGCTGATTTGATAGCCAGAGGGAGTAGGTTCCATACTCGGGCTGACGCTGCAGTAAAGGATCTGTCGGCCCAAAGAGTGGAGGTCCTGGGCTCGTGAAGCATCATGAGCTCACTGGAGCGGAGTCCGGTGCGTGCTGTTGAATACAGGCGGATGAAGTCGATGAGATACTCGGGGGCATGGTTGTGGAGGATTTTGTAAACGAATGCACTCGTGACTCGGACTCGGACTTAAACTAAATGACTCGAGACTCGGACACGACGCAAGTATACAACACTGCCCAATGGTTGCGGTGTCTGACTCGTGCGATGGTACATGAGTTCACGGGAACATGGTGTTACCGTGTTTGTGTTCTTGGGCAAGACACTTTACAACATTTGCCGACCAGGAGTAGGTACCTGTGAGGGCAGAGGACGGGTTGCACTTGTCTCAAGCTGCAAACTGGCCCAATGAACAGGTGTAATCAATACCAAGCGCTTTGAGACGTGTATGAAGCGTTATAACGATGCGCTGTGGCCAGTCTTCCGTCGCTGCCTTCTGATTGGCCGAACTTGAAAGTCAGTGGAGACGCGGAACACGCATAAAACCCGTCCCCGTTAGTATACTACATTAAGTTGACAAATTTTATATAGTTCACCAATAACAAAAGTTGCATTTTAGGTACTCAACGCGGTCAGTGACTCTGTACGTGAGTACATTTTATCCGATTGATTACGCCCCTAATCGACTCTGGAAATATTCGGCGTTTGAAGCGTGCCCAATATATAAAACACAGATGTTAAGTCACTGATAAAAGCTTGATAAAAGCTTGATTAAAATAATGATAATAATACCGAAGTCTATAGCGCACGTATCTACCAACAATTAGGTACTCAAGGCACTGGTAATTATGTTTATTATTAGGTAGACGGGTAAATGAAGTACATGAGAAATACGAGACCCGCACCTTTATAAGGGTGTACAAGGTGCTGCGGCGCATATTGCAGCCACTGCCAGAAACGTCTTTCTTCAAATCTTGCCAAATAAAGTCATATTTTAGGCCAGGACAAAACTTGCCAGGGCATTCTACAAGATGATTGGTTAAAAAGTTGTCTCTATTTTGGTGTCCGAAGTTGCCCTTTCCTGGAATTGTGCCAAGTACGCCATCAATATTTTCTCAGAGATGTGTGAACTCCGGAATCGTTCAGTAAAATTAGATACAAATCTGTGTCAAGTGTTTTGCACTTCGCGTGTTTATTCGCTTTAATGGACATCTCCCTATTTGACTATTACCGAGGAGATTCTGTGAAAAAGTCAGGATACTAGCCAAATAAGATTATTGGTCGTTATGGATAGAAAGGACTGGTGCTAATACCATGTCTAATGACTACCGGATTGAGTGTGTGCACAGGATTTGTGGGGGGATGCTATATTTGGCAGCTAATCTTCCTGTTGAAGAAAACACCCAAAAAAAGAGGGGATTTGGCAGGATTTTTCAAAGGCCATTACTCACAGCGTAGGCGTGATAGGCAAACAGACTTTCGCATGACTCGGTAATCGGTCGATAAAATGTAAACATGCATGTTGACAATTAGGGCGCCCCCAGTAGGGAAGTTCCTACATTGATATGACTAGCAACGAAACAAATAACACGAGAAACACATACAGGTTGTCCCAACATTCGAATCGGGTATGTTTTCAGAAAGGTGGGGGTAGTATTCAAAATCGTGCCTAATGTATTGCTGAGTAGAATAAGTAGTCTTCCAAATGCCTTTTAGTTGGTTTCATGAGGATGTTTTGTTCAAAATATACAGCTTCATTTTCTTCTCAAAACAGTCGTATGATTTCCGAAGGGCATGCAGTGATACCATGTATAATTATACAGATACGACTCAATGTAATTACCAAGCTTAAATTAGGCCTAATTGAATCCGTCAGTCTTAGATGTACAACTTAAATTGAGATAACGCCAAACCGAAAGCCATCGGACTTTAAAACGGTGGTTGTGTTTAAATTCCGTAACCTGAAAAGCACATGAGTGATTTGAATGACTCTTGTACTAAAAGAAAGATTATGAATTTGGTGCTTTCATATCTTAGATTTTGAAAGTGCTACATGCAGAACTTGACTGAAACAATGGTCCCGACGTTTGGGTGTCGGTTTTTTTTTTACTCAACCTGCATAAGTTTGCACGACCGTGCACTGTTTCTCCTCTTTAAAATTCGAAATACATATGTCGCATTTTGAAAATAAAGTTGCATCGCCGTTCTGTGTGTGTGTGTGTGTGTGTTGATGTCATACCTATCCTTTCCCAGCAAAGTAGTTCTCCGTTTGAAGTTTTTGGCTGGGAAGTTATATAATATTGGCCTTTGCTCTGTGAACAATCCATGGCTTGACCTGGATAAGTAGGCAGTCTTATAGAAGAACCTAACAATATGCTCTCCTGGTAAAATGCAGGCAGATATTTCAATAAGCCGTCGTATAGTACACATGACAACGCACGACGCCTCGGATTATGGCGGACCGTACACAACCAGTAGTACAGATCACTACCAATCCCTGTATCGGCTCGGGTTACCAGCGAGGTGTGTTTGCACGTGGAAATTGCTTTCCGCCACTGATCCTCCCTCTCCTGTTCCCATGGGAACCGTCCCAGCATCGCCTCTGAGGACAAACTATTGGCCTACTTTAATTTCAGCGGCGGCAACGTTCCACGAAATTGAAGTCCGGACGCGACGCATGTAGCGTTCAGAAGGTTCACGTAGCGCGTCAAAGGTTAAAATGCCACGAACTGGACTCAAGGATATTGCACTTGAGTATTGCTCTTTCAAAGCGCTCGGTGTTCGACTTTCCATTTCCTCGATGCTGTTACTGCGATTTCTAAGGATGATTAATAATGCACTGGCTCATTACATTGAGTGTGCAATAAGCGAGCCCAGATTATTATCTACACCATTGTCGGGGCTTAACCTTTCCTAACCTTCCACACTCTTAAACAAAAATCCTCGTCTGATTTGATATATTAGTCTGACACTTTCCTGGTTCAAAATGACACTTTTGATAATGTGTTCGGTCATAATGACCCAAACATGAGTTAGAGAACTGTTATTTTGCCCCGGATAAGAGGTTTGACCCTGTAAAGTGTCAGACCAAGTACCCGAATTCAAGGTCAATCTTACCAGAGACGTATTATTTGAAGCGCAACCTCGGCGACTGTTTCCCACAATTTAAAACGACAAGACCGTAACAAAACTATCAAATTGAAAAGACGAATGATCCAACATTTATCATAGCCTTTCCATGTCGACATTTCACGCCATACATGTATGTACAGTGGCATGCTACTGCGGATATAAGCAAAGTGTCTACATTGTATGGGCCTTACTGCACGAGTTGGCCATTTTTGTCGAGTTCCCCGAATGTATTTCATTAATTGTTAACTGTTGAATGGGATGGCGCCAGACTACTTATGCAGGCACAACGCAGCATTATTTACTGGGTTGTTTTTTAATCTGGCTTTAAACATTAGGGAACGTTTAATTACAAATTTCAAATTATTCATGGAAGCAGACTGGAATTAATTAGAAGTTAACTTGGTTCCATTTAACAAGTTCCAAAAATCAAGATTTTACCTCACACTCAATCCAATATGGCCGACTCGTTAATAAGGCCCGTACTTGACTTTTGGCAGTTTATTTTTCAGAGCTCATCCATCCTTGTTTTGGGATTTGTTTTATTACGAGGATACATTGAACAAGACAAGGCGACCTCATGAAGCTATTAACAGAGCGCACAAAATTATATTCAATTGAATCGTAATTGCTATTCACAAAAAAAATCTTCATATGTAGCCCATTACAGGGTAGTCATATACGAGATCACTGCCCGGCTATCCTCACCAGCCAACTACAAGGACTAAAGATATATTGGCAGGGGCTCTCTGGTACCGGCAAAGGCTAATTGACAGGACACTCACGTAGTACAAAGGCAACCTACACGATTAAGACGAGAACGAGTTTTTTTTTTTTGCAATGACACTTTTTTCACAATTTAGTGAATAAGTATTAAGAGCGAATAGATGTGTGTACTGCCTCACACCAGAATCAGTTGACACTTGACTGTACAGAGAGCATCCATGAAACGTCGTGTATACAAATAACGTGGACATGAACAACTCGAATTACCGTATGCCTGTCGCGCAAATGCCCTTATAAGTGAACTATCTGCGGTCGATGCTACATTTCCGCTATTTAGCTGTGTAAATTTAGTGAGCAATTCAATTAACAGAACTCGCCAAGAAAAGCTTAACGAGTTGGGAGCAGCTGTCTGCTTGGAGAAGCTTGCTGGGAAACATTCGTCGTTATTGTCCAAGGTCTCTTCAAATTTACCCAGATAATGTTAATTTCGAGCGGTGATTAGGACATCTTCGTCTGACAGCCACAGAGCCAGAACACTGACATTTCTAATGTCTGACTTCTTGATCTTATGGTTTCTTAATTGCCAGTTTTCCCTTCAGATTTGGGATAACGTTGATTTTTCACCGGTGATTAGATCAGCTTCGTTCTACAGCCAGAGGCGTTGTGTGATGCATCATGATTCCCCTTAGATTTCTGAGAACTTGTATGAGGAAAGCGGGTATTTGACCGTCATCCAGGTCTTTCAACTTTAGGGAGCGAGAAATCCTAGTGCTAAAAAACCCACACACCTAGCTGCTTCAATGAAGTCTGAAGTTAGGTTCAACGGAAGTTCGGTATTATTGAAGACTATTTTCTCGCTTAAAATCGAGGCCAACTTTTCCACGAACTAGCCAAATTGAACATGCTCTAACAAGGCTATTTTGAACTCTCTACGGAACTGCAGTCCGACATGTTCCATCTTGACCGTCTGTAATCCTATAAGCCTGAGACGGTTCAACAGCTTCTAGAGTATTGGCAATCAGGGACATTCAACCTGAAACGAAGCCACTTTGGGTAGATGTCCAGTTCAATTTAATGGAGTTATTGCTCACTATTTTTTTTTATTTAGTAGTGCGCACGTTCCATATTTATGTTACCGCCTGCACTGACAGCAACGAAGCGAAAGCTCACGGCAAGTCTTCGCGCTGCGAGTTCGCAAAAGTTGAAGACATTTTGACTTCGGCGAATTTTGCAACGAATGTTTCCTGACGTCGGGTTCGCTTCGCTTTAGCCGTCCCGTAAATTAAGAGCTAGGCTCATTTCTCCAGACGCGTTTTCTGTCTGTTCAGTGTCCATCGCCTCTTCAACCTGCTCATTTAGGAACCTAAATACCCAAGGGACATACAAACAGTCTGAATACATATAGATCGAAGGGAATGTTTATTTTTTTGACAAATTGCTGTAACGTGCATGAATGCAGGTGATTTTTCCAACCTTTCTTACTGTTCTTCAAATATCAGGACGCCCTCATGTGACAGGGCGTAGGGCTAGACGCCATGTTGTGAGTCGGCATGCATGTATCGAGCTTTGATTATTCAACTGTTTCAGAACACATTCTGAAACAGCTTTTGTTTTCGTTAAGATTCCTTTTTTCCCCCTTTTCCAACCTTTGTCCATAGCATTTGCACCATTTTCTTTCTTACTTGCAATTTGGGAACAGTGTGTCACAGATCAAACTTTGAGTGACGTCATGATGACGTCATCAACTGTCACATTATGTCACATTACAAAGATGCAATTTTCCAAGTCTTTTACCTCATGAACTACGACTCCAATTGCCTTCAACCGTTGTATGTACATAGACAGGGATGTCTTACAGATGAAAATTGGGGTGGCGTTATCTAGTGTCACGTGATATCACATTTAATGGGCAATTTTCAAAGTCCTTCGTACTTTTTAATGCCTTGTTGACAACCGTCATTATCTCATCTGGATAGAACTTCACAAACAACAGGTGCATCAATTAAAACAAACAACTTCAGAAACACCCCAAACAGTGCTATGTTTGTCCTACGACGAACGCATGTCTAATGTTATTCCGTTGTTCACTCTACAAAAAAAGTACACTATATGAGACTTGCGCAGTACAGGGTGACCCAAAAATGCAACCCTAAAACATTTGCTTTTTTTTTTCCAAAACAGTGATAGGTTAACGTTCATGTTTTGGATATCAGATTGAAGTTAAGAGTTTTTTCCTTCAAATGCTGAAAAAAAATCATGAAAACAGCACACTGGATTGCTGAGAAAATGCCAATTATGTAACACAGCTCCTCTTTGGTCCATTCCAATGGCATTACCACAGTTAAGGGATTTACGCTGTACCTATCTGTGCATGCAATGCATTTGGCGCATTGTATCTCAATCCTTGCAAACAACACGGCACCTAATATAAATAGTTCAAAATACCTTTCATTCTCCACCTGAACAGGTATCTTATCCTGTGTAGTTCTGTTTTAAACCTTTTCAGCACCATAAATATGTCAAAATACTAAAGCAAATGCACAAATGAAAGACAATTGCACAGTGGGCTGTAACATTCAACAGACATGCATGGCTCTGATTCAATTTGTCGACAGAATTAATAGTGTTTTCATCAACAAAATCTATGCCATTAGTGGTTTTATTAATCTATCGAAAACTTTCAATACTATCAGTCATTCCATTCTTCTCACTAAACTAGAACACTATGGCATTAGGGGAACTCCCCTTAACTTGATTTAGTCGTTTGTAATTTCAGATATGTACTATTATTCTTTATACAATTTATATAATCACCTTCTGTTATTTGAAAACTTATTTGACTTGCTTGTGGAAAGTATGGAAATAAATTTTGTCTTTGGAAATGAATTTGAATTGAAACATATGTTTCACTTTGAAAAGGATGAAAAATCACTTTTTTTTTCATAATTGGAATTTACTCAGCAACCCAAGGTGCTGTTTGTATGGGATTTTTTTTCTTCAGTGTTTGAAAGAAAAAGCTCTCGGCTTCAATCTTATATCCAAAACATAAAATTCATCGATAACGTTTTTAAAACAAGGCAAATGTTTCAGGGTTGCATTTGGGTTGGGGGTTCACCCTGTAGACTACGTGTAAAAATGCACAATGGTAACTATAGCGACCACCACAAAAGAGCTACCACTGTTGAGGAATGTAGCTTATTCATGAATAAGCCATTTTGGTCGGGTTCCCCCAATGTATTTGATTAATTGTGAACTGTTGAATGGGATGGTGCCAGACTATTTATACATTCTAGCCTCACTTTCATTGTTGTGGCTTAAAACATCAGGGTATGTTTAATCACAAATTTAAAATGATTATGTGTAATTAAGTTTATGTCATTGCTGTCATTTCTCTTCGCGAGTTCCAAAAATAAAGATTTTACCTCGCTTTCAATTCAATATGGCCGACCCATGAATAAGGCCCATAACTCTCAATAGAAAAACTGTATCCTCACTCCCGCCATAAGTAAAAATTTTACCAAAAGTGACATTTTAAAACCGACCGAGTGATTTCCCAGTATACCCGAACTTAAAAGCGATTTGCTATTACCAAATAAATTGCATTTACTGAATGCCTCGTTGTCCATCAGTATGCAGAGCCTGGTTCGATTTGGGGATTGTCCTGCATG